GGAGGTTGCAGTGAACCAAGATCACACCACTGTGCTCAGCCTGGGCGACAGAGTGAGACTCCGTCTCAAAAAAAAAAGTATTTTTAAAAATTGTGATATACATAATACAAAATTTACTTTCTTAACAATGGTTTTTTCTCTTTAAATTTTATTTTTAGAGACAGTGTCTCACTCTGCCACCAGGCTGGAGTGCACTGGTGTGATCACAGCTCACTGCATCCTGTAGGGCTCAAGTGAGCCTGCTGTCGAGGCCTACTGAGTAGTCTGAACTGCAGGCATGCACCACCAAGCCCACTTAATTTTGTAGTTTTGTAGAGGTGGGGTTTAACTGCATTGCCTGTGCTAGTCTCAAACTTTTGGGTTCAGGCAATCTTCCCACCTCAGCCTCCCGAGTAGCTGGGACTACAGGCATGCACCACACAACCCACATAATTTTTTGTATTTTTTTTGTAGAAATGGAGTATCACTATGTTGCCCAGGCTGGTCTCACACTCCTGGACTCAAGCAATCCCCCCCACTTCGGCCTCCTGAGTAGCTGGGACTACAGGCGTGCACTACCGTGCCTGGCCTTAACCACCTGGAAGCATGCAGTTCCGTGGCAGGAGCACATTCATGTTGTTGTACAGCCATCTCCACCATTCATCTCCGGAGCTCTCTTCATCTTGACCTGACTTTATTTTTATTTTAATTTTTTTGAGGCAGGGCTTTTGCTCTCTTGCCCAGGCTGGAGTACAATGGTGTGATCTTGGCTTACTGCAACTTCTACCTCCTGGGTTCAAATGATTCTCATGCCTCCTGAGTAGCTGGGATTACAGGCACCTGCCACCATGCCCAGCTATTCTTTGTATTTTTAGTAGAGACAGGGTTTCACCACGTTGGTCAGGCTGGTCTCAAACTCCTGACCTCAGATGATCCACCCGCCTCCACCTCCGAAAGTGCTGGGATTATAGGCGTGAGCCACAATACTTGGCCCAACCTTACTTTATTTTTGCCTTCACTTTATGGGGGCCCATCTGGCAGGTGAGCCAGATCATTCTGCCTTTGCTGATGTAGCTCAATGACTTTTGCCAGTGAGGACATATATGGAAATGTACAGATCTATCTTTTCTTAAGCACTGATTTACTTAGTTTTTCCCTTAAACCAAAGAACACCTAACAGTTGTCATTAGGAAATGTAGTTACATGAGCACGTTACAGATACTTCAATAAACATCATGGAAAAAGCAGCTCCAAAATTCCTGATGTAGGAGGCAGGGTTGATGTCCAAGTTTGGGTTACCCAGAGTGGACCATTAGGTGTGTGTGTGTGTCATGTGCAAAACTTCCAGCTTGTTTAATAGTCACTCTCACAAACTCACATTCAGCCTAAGGCATGGGCTCACAGCAATGCATTCTTCATGCAGTTGCATCTTGACTGCAGAGGTTAAATTTTGCAAACAAGAGTGACCTCCCCTCCCTGGCGCGCCATCCCAGCAACAGGTGGTAGGGAAGTGCATTCCTCTTGGGGAGTGGGGCTGGTGGGGAGTGGGGCTGGTGGGGAGTCGGGGCTCCGGCAGGGGTAAGCAGCTTTGCTGACCTGGACAGGCAGACCACCCTGAGTGGAGGGAGAGGGGTTGACACCAACGGCCCCTGGGTGAGTCCTTACCACTTTCGGCCGGAACGGCGGGTCAATCTCCTTCCGTTCAAGTTCCTCCCAGTTGATCTCCCGAAACAAAGGGTGCTGGCGGATGTCTCCCCTCACACCTAGCCTCTTCTCTGGTTCTCGCACAAAGAGCTGAAAGGGAGCAGAGGAGGAGCCCTGAGGTCTCCAGGGATGAGCCTTTTGCATCAGGAGCACGTGGTGCTTCCCAGTGCGTTAGCCCCTTCTTTTCTAGCCTCACTTTTCAACTCACCTTCATCAGGACTGACTAAAATCAATCTGGTCCTGAAACTCTCCCTTGCAGGACCCTTTCTAAGTTTGCTGGTGTCTGACTCACTATCTTCCGAGGCACACAGACCTGATTTGAAACTTTGTCCTGTGTTACTGATGGGACCTCAGGCAGCTGACAGGCCTGAGTCAGTTTCCTCACCTGTAAACTGAGCCAAGTGCCCTCCTCACAAGGTGGATATGAAGATTAATGAGACAGCAACACACACACATACACATGCGCACACATGCACATACAGGCACACACGCACCATATGTGAGCACATGCACACACACATGCACATACATGAACACAGATATATGATGGCATACACAGATATGAACACTGGCACACACATAAATGTGAGCACATGCACACGGATACGCATATACACATACACATGCACACAGATAGGTATATATAAATGCACACACACAGACATGAACACATACACATGTGCACACGCTGACATACAAATGTGACACATGCAGACAGGCAGGCATATGCATGCATATACACGCGTACATGAACACATGCACACAGACACACACATTTGTGCACTATAACTCCTGGTCTATTAAATCCAACAGTATAGAGTGAGGGATCAATTTATTTGTCATTTGATGAATTATCCATCAATTGAGTCTGATTTCTTACAAAGCTGCATTCTTAGGATGAGTCCAGCATTGTGGGGACTCAGGTATAATAGAAACTAGTCCCAGACAGTCAGCTTTGGACTCTACAAGGCATCTGAGTAAAGAGAATTACCCTCGACTCCTGCAAACCTGCTGGAGGAGTAATATTTAATTCAACGTCCATCTAGTAATTTCTGAGCTGGCACATATGTACATTCTGCTATGCACTGTTCCTTCTCCTGTTCTTTCCCCCTAAGAGGTCAAAATGAACACTGGAAAGACAGGAAAGGAACTTGGATATTTTTCAAACTTAAATAAAACCTGTCAAGGGCATTAAGAAACAGGAGAGTCTAAACATTAACTTAGAAAAGTAACAGGTCCCCTGGGTGTCTGGAGTAGTTACCGGTTATTCTTACATCAGCTAGATGTTTATTTATGGAGCAATCATGAGTTATAGAGCATTTTAAGGAGCCTAAAGTTCTTTAAAACAGAAAACGTGGTGGAATGCAGTGTTTTCCAGGAGGCTTTCACAGGGGTTCGACCTCCATTTGCACCTAAATTGCAAGGGTCTCTTGTTTTTACTGCTCATAAACATAGCAGGCCTGCATGTTCTGAAATAGTGAGATATATATATATCTCAACCAAACAACATACTATTGTAAATTGGAGGGTTTTTTTTCCCTTTTTTAAAAAAGTAGGAGAATCTCTTTGAAGTTCCGGGTGAAATGTTTGTGCAACCACCCAGTGTATCCGACTGGCAAATTCTTGGCACAGTCTCAACTTCCTCTCTCCCCTTTACCATAGGGGGGCCACTGAGGACTCTCTAGAGAAACTTGGGGTTCCAAAGTACCCAATTAGAAAGCCACTGCATGGTGGAAATAACATGACATCCATCCAAGAGACTGACTACCCATGTGGCCTCAGGTCAGTTTTCTGAGTCTGTTTCCTCATGTGTAAATGAAGGGCTAGACAAGGTGATCTCTAAGGCCTGGTGAGTTCTGACATCCTCAGGCCCTCAGCTGCCGTTCCAGGCTCTCTGGAGTCTGATGCTGACTCACAGGTCCTTTCATCCCCATTAGAACCCCCTCCTGTACAAACGTTTCTGCTCACTGAAAACACCACCTGCCTTCCTGCCTCTGTCCCTCACTAATGGTATTTCTATCTTGCATTGAGATACCCTCCCCTAGTCCACTCCCATTTCCTGCCCCCCATCTTTAAATTCTGCCTTATCTTTCAGGGCTCTTCACCCCCTTTTCCTTGTGAAACTTTCTTTAATGATCTCCACTGGCAGGGAGCCTTCTCTCCTCTGTTCAAGTCATATTCAGGACCGATCACACCATCATACATCACTCACATGATTCATGATTCTTAGGATTGATACAGCATTCACTCCTACCAATGTTCTTTGGGAGCCAGGCACTGTGCTAGATGCCTCAGTGATTTTGAAACAAATTCTAAGAGTAAGTATCATTATCCCCGTTGTCAGCTGAGGAAGCCGAGCCTCAGAGTAGCTATGCACTTTGATGACAAGTGGCCTCTTTCCCACTTGTCCTGATGGATAATCTCTCATCTGTGCACCACAGAACGTCTTCCCTCTACTGGAGAATTAGTATATTGCATCTTTTTTCCAAGGTTGTCTTCTTTCCTACTAGACTGTAAGCTCTGAAGGCTGGACGTCACTGATATGTCTGTTCCTTTCAGAAGCTAGCATGGTGCGGGGCACAACACAGATGCTCAGTAGATGCATGCTGAGTAAGTGAATAAGCTGTCTTTCCGCTTTGTTTATCTGCAGATCACACATTTTCTAGCCTCATTTTTTTCTTGGTCACCTGTTTACAGCATAGAAAAGAAGCACCAAGTTCACAGTAAGACATATTTTTCTGTAGGCTCAGAAAATGGAGTGGATACTAAAAGCCTTGCTTCACCACTGTGCAATCCATGCATGTAACAAAATTACACTTGTGCCCCATGCATTTATACAAACTATAAAATAGTAGGAGTCATCACATGGAAAAGCAGATTGATGTTTTAGAAGCAGAGAGAGGCTGGGCATGGTGGCTCATGCCTGTAATCCCAGCATTTTGGGAGGCTGAGGTGGGCAGATCACTTGAGGTCAGGAGTTTGAGACCAGCCTGGCCAACATAGCGAAACCCCATCTCTACTAAACATAGTGGGCATGGTGGTGGACACCTGTAATCCCAGAGACATGGGAGGCTGAGGTAGGAGAGTTGCTTAAACCTGGGAGGCAGAGGTTGCAGTGAGCTGAGATTGTACCACTGCACTCAAGCCTGGGCAACAGAGTAAGATTCCTTCTACAAATAATAATAAAAAGCAAAGGGAATAAGTGACTTGCTCTTTGCCCCTTCTCTTGAAACAATGATACTAAATGATTGATCTCTACTTCTTAAGGACATTTGGATGAAACAAGATTAGATAGATGGTGTAAGTGTCTTAGGAATAGGCCAAAACCCAGCTCATGTTCTAATGCAATGCTTCAGCAAATTAGGCCATAAGTAACTGCCCTGGGCCATGTGTGCTGCATGCTAGGTTTTCTATTCCTTCCAGTGAACATGTGGCATTTGTACTAAGAGGATCATGCCAACGGACCTTCTGAGCTTGGATGTGTACCTGCAAAATGAAAAAATACGTGAAAAATATAAAATGTGTCATGAGAAGAGCATATAGTTTCCAGCTCTGAGCTTCAATATTCTTTCTAGTTCTGCGCAGAACAGAAAATTAGTATATTTTCTGCCCTGCAGCCACTCAACCCACTGGGGTCCTGAGGATGATGGGAGACCTTACAGGGGGCCCAGGCTGGAAGCTCCACCCCTAGAAAGCTGCACAGATGAAATAAAATCCCTGAAGACTTGATTTTGTCTGTAAAAGCTGTCAGGATGGAGGTTTACATTGATGGGAAAAAATAGGATGTAGTTGGAATTTGTTTAAGTTTATTGAACAGTCTGGGCAAGAACGCAGCTCCAGGCTGTGGAGGACAGCGAGCAGCAGTGCTGACAGATTGTACCTGGAGCCTGCCTTCCCTCTTCAGTCCCTCCTCAGATACGTCTTTCTATGAAAGGAAGAGGTATTTATGTTCTGGATCGTTAATTTCCCCTCATTTTCAAACAAATGGACAGGACATCCTGGATGGATAAACGAGGACATAAAGGGTGTTTCTTTGGCAATCGTCAACTGGACAGCAGTGTCCCCACTGGAATTCTAGCTGGAGCACAGCCTCTTCCAGTGTGCACTTGTTCACTGCACAACATGCATCCATGCCCTGGGGGCTGACGGTGACAGGCCTGGTTCTGCTGCTGTCACAGGTGCCACGCAGCATTGCTCTCCTTGGCTTTTCCTGAGGACCTATTACTTCTGGTTTGATAACGTTTTGTTAAATTCCCTTGAGGAAATTTCTGAGAAATGGCATTACCTTTTATGTTTTCAGCAAATGGGGCTCAAGAATGTGGGAGCTGTTGGATCCAAGCAAATGAGGAATAGAAATAAGGCTGGAAGCCAGTTTATGGGCAGCAGATTGCATGATAGAAATTAATTTTATCAGCCTAACTGCAAGAATATGTGTGAGAGAAAGTTCATGGAATTTTTACTAACTCACATGGGAAATAAAAAGTCCAAACTCTTCTATGTAAACTTAGAACAGGGGTGTCCAATCTATTAGCTTCCCTGGGCCACACATAAAACACACTAACACTAACAATAGCTGATGAGCTAAAAAAAAAAAAAATCACTAAAACATGTCATAATGTCTTAAGAAAGTTTATGATTTTGTGCTGGGCTACATTCAAAGCCATCCTGGGCTATATGCAGGGCATGGGTTGAACAAGCTTCATTTAGAACCTCTTGAATAGGAATGGTGACTCATGCCTATAATCCCAGCACTTTGGGAGGCTGAGGCGGGCAGATTGCTTTGAGCTCTGGAATTTGAGACCAGCTTGGGCAACATGGCAAAACCGCGTCTCTACAAAAAATACAAAAATCAGCTGGGCGTTGGTGGCACGCACCTGTAGTCCCAGCTTTATGGAAGGCTGGGGCTGGAGAATCACTTGAGCCTGGGTAGCGTAGGCTGCAGTGTGCCAAGATTGTGCCACTGCACTCCAGCCTGGGTGACAGAGTGAGACTCTGTCTTTAAAAAGAAAAGAAAAAAACCTCTTTCAGCCATCAGTCCTCTTGTCTTCTTTATCCCTTATTGTCTTAGTTTCTATTCTTTCAATCAAATTCATTTTCTTCTCTTGGGACAAATCTCTCTCTTGCCCCTGAAACTCTGCAGATGACTGTTATTTTGGTGTTTGCAAGGCATTTAGCCTTAGATTTAGTCATTTTATTTGAGACAGAGTCTCACCCTGTCACCAAGGCTGGAGGGCAGTGGCAGAATTGAACAGCAGTAGCTCTGACAGATTATTCACTGCAACTCCAACCTCCTGGGTTCAAATGATTCTCCTGCCTCAACCTCCCGAGTAGGTGGGGTTACAGCTGCCTGCTACCATGCCCAGCTAATTTTTGTATTTTTAGTAGAGATGGGGTTTCACTATGTTGGACAGGCTGGTCTCAAACTCCTGACCTTGTGATCCACCCACCTCGGCCTCCCAAAGCGCTGGGATTACAGGCATGAGCCACTGCGCCTGGCCCTAGTTTTGTTTTAAAACTTTATTTTGAAGTAATTATAGATTCACAGGATGTTGATAAGATAGTACAGAGATGTCCCATGTGCCCTTCACCCTATGTCTCCCAATGGTTCCATTTCACATAATGACAGCATAAGGTAAGGAGCTGGTCTGGTGCCATGTGTATATACTACTTATGCCAGTTTATCACATGTGCAGATATGGGCAACTTCCACGCCAAGCAAGATTTGAACCACAAAGATCTGCCTGTGCTGCACCCTGAGAGTCATGCCCATCCTCCTGTCCCCAGCACCCTAACCCCAGGCAACCACTAATCTGACTTGCATTTCTATGGTGTTGTCATTTCAATGAAGTGATATCAATGGGCTCAGAGAGCGTGAGCTTTTGAGATTTACCTTTTGCATTCAACATTAATGCCTTGCATTGTTTTATAAGGATCAATAGTTCCTTTTCATTGCTGAGTAGGATTCCAGGACATGGCTTTTCACCTTTTCTCCTCCCAATCCTTTTCTCCCACCCAATCTTTCTCTCCTTGGAACCATCACTTCCAACTTCTCTCCATGGAGTTACTCCTGGTTACCTCTGCCCCTCCTTCGCCCTCCATCCTGGCCTGAAACATTGCAGATCCTCAAGGTGGGCTGGGTTTGGGAAACACAGGGCGGAAGGCTGGCATTTATGAGGCATGATGGGTGTTGGGGGATTGTGACTCTCCCTCCAGGGCCTCCACCTTGGGACTCATTTGGAGATAGCCCCCGAGTCTGGAGGTGCTCTCATGCCTCGGGTTGTATAGACCAAGCTTTGTGTTCGTTTTTATCCCCAGTGGGTTTTGCTGGCCTAGGCTTCACAGTGCAGCCTCATGCTGTGGACTGAATGGCACCCCCTCAAAATGTTGATGCCCCAGTCCACAATGTGACTGTAGGTCGGGCCTTTATGCAGATAATTAGGGTTAAATGTGGTCATGGGGTAAGGTCCTGATCCAACAGGCGCAGAGGTCGCATATGAAAGGGAGACCAGAATTTCTTTCTCTCTGCTGTGAAGACACAACTAGAAGGTGGCTGTCTACCAGTCAGGAGGAGAGTCCTCATCAGGAACTGACCCTGCTGGACCTTAATCTTGGACTTGCAGCCTCCAAAACTGTGAGAAAGAAATGTCTGTTGTTTAACTCACTTGGTCTGTGGTACCTTGTTAGGGAGCCCAAGCTGACACATTTCACAGTTGATTATTACAATTGCTACATTTATTGCTACAAATGTAGCTATTGTAACAATGTGTGAGCTGCCTTTACATAAAATAAGAAACTTTATATCCAGATCCCACTGACTTATTTTTACTGTTGTCATCCTTTTTTCTTTTTAAATTGGTTAATTTTGAAATTAGCTTTCATTTCATCTGTGTTTGGTCATTAAAAGTACCTCTAATTGGTTGTTGAGGGAATTTTCTAAGCTATTGCTTGTTTGGATCACAGTCAGAAAGTGAAAGCTGGATGGAACTGGCTCGAATTTTTAAACACCTTGTTTCTTTACCATTGACTGGGGATCCTGTGAGGGCTTTGTCAGCACTTCTCAGATTCAAGGTCTTGATTTTCCAAGGAGTGCTCTGGAGTTGCCTCCAAGTTTCTAATGCCCAAGACAGGTTGTCACTTTTATTAGAGAGGTGGAAGTGTATTCCCTTTACATTTAATTCTAACTACTTCTTTAAGAGCAAAAAAGTAGATGAGTGAAAAAAGATGAGCCTGCTAATATTTTTCTAGTTTTAAATTTAAAACCCCCAGATAGCTTCCCATGTTGAAGGATCTTATCCTATTCCCATTTTCAATATAGCAAGCATAAGGCTAAAAATTATTTCCCTAAATGATGAGTATTTTGTAACCAGCTGACATATGAGATGCCAGAAATCAAAACAATCTTTCTTCCAAAGCACCTGCATTCTTGGTCCACTTCTTTCAGATTTGCTAGACTCTTTTTTTATTGGGGGTGGGGGGGTAGGGAAACAGAGTCTTGCTCTGTCACCCATGCTGGAGTGCAGTGGTGTGATCATGGCTCATTGCAACCTCTACCTTGTGGGCTCAAGCGATCCTCCAACCTCAGCTGCCTGAGTAGCTGAGACTGTAGACGTTAGCCACCACAGCTGGCTAATTTTATATTTTTTGTAGAGATGGGGTCTCACCATGTTGCCCAGGCTGGTCTTGAATTTCGGGTTGTTCAAGCAATCCTCCCACCTTGGCCTTTCAAAGTGCTAGGGTTATAGGTGTGACCTGAGGTAGGTGCATCACCTGAGGTCAGGAGTTCGAGACCAGCCTGGCCAACATGGTGAAACCCTGTCTCTACTAAAAAAACAAAAATTTAGTTGGGTGTGATGGTACACCTGTAATCCCAGCTACTTTGGAGACCAAGGCAGGAGAATCACTTTAACCTGGGAAGCGGAGGTTGCAGTGAGCTGAGATTGTGCCACTGCACTGCAGCTGGGGTGACACAGTGAGATTCTGTCTCAAAACAAAAAAAATGTGATGAATAATACCTTGGACTGGATGGTTTTAATTTTTCCACTGAGACGGTGTTTCAGACAATAGGTTGTCTTTTATCTAAGAGCAGGCTGAAAAGTCACACATCCTGCACACATTTTCAACCAGAGGTAGGGGAGGATGAACTGAATTGAATATTACTAATAACAAACTAGGGGAAACAAGAGATTGAGTTAAAAAAACCCCACCTCTATATAACATAAATTCCCTTTTTTTCTTTATTGTTTTGGAGACAAGGTTCTCACTACATTGCCCAGACTGACCTCAAACTCCTAACTTCAAACAATCCTCCTGCCTCAACCTCCCAGGTAGCTAGAGTTTAAAGCCACACACTGTGCTTGAAGACCAACTACATCTCCAGGTGAGGGTATTCAAAGGTAATGAACTGGTTCCCAGGCATCTATTTTATAACAGATGCACGAGGGTTTATCTTACACTCCTTTTGATATTTAATGCTCATAAGATTGGTGCCTCTATTAAAACACAGATGGTGTGTATCCCATTTAAACCCAGTTCAATATAATCATTGTTTGCCATGTGCAAGTTGGAATCTAAGATGAACAGAAAACTGACCAGAAGACCTAAAACTCTTCTTATGAAGATGCTCTTGGCTTCGCTTCTTACCTTCACCAGCAGGTCCTTTGCCTCCTTCTCCAGCCACCGTGGGTAAAAGGGATTGTCCATGCGGATAGAGTGGAAGAGCTCCTCCTCATCCTGCCCGTGGAAAGGTGACTGACCGATCAGCATCTCATAAAGGAGAACCCCGAAGGACCACCAGTCCACAGAGTGGTTGTATTTCTGACCCAGCAAGATCTGCACAACCAAAAGGCAGACACAGAATTAGTAGGAATGAGGCTGAGGAGTGACAACTCTTCCTGAGCGTCTCAAGCCATGCAGTAAATGGTCAAGGGGAAAGATGTGAGGTTGCCCCCAAATCACCCCAAAAACTCTCTCCTGAGAAGCCGATGACTGGATAGCAATGTCCAAACAATGCTGAAATGTTTGAGTCTGAGTAAGCTCTTTTCAGTTTCCATTTGTATTTTTCCTCTGGTTTTAAAGAAACAATGAAACTGTGTCATTAGTTTTTATTTTCCCATCAATGACATGAGAACTCAGGTGGCAGATATCGGACCTATGAAAGCTGGCATATGTCTAAGTTCTCCAGAAGCTCTGGTGTGAGCCTTGAAACCAAGCCCACATGCTTTGCTGACTTGCACTGTCCTGAGTCTTTGCAGAAACTCTCTGTAGTAATAAAGCATCCAAAGTAGGCCATCTGGACAATTCCCTTCCTTAAAGCCTCACTATCTACGGCTGTTCGGTTCAGGAGGCACAACTGTAATCACTGATATGCAGACTCAAATTGTGTCCTGTGCCAGGAAAGAGACCCTAAAATAAAGAGCTCAAATCTAGGCCAGGTGTGGTGGCTCAAGCCCGTAATCCCAGCACTTTGGGAGGCTGAGGTGGGTGGATAACCTGAGGTCAGGAGTTCAAGACCAGCCTGGCCAGCATGGTGAAACCCCATCTCTACTAAAAATACAAAAATTAGCCAGGTGTGGTGGCAGGTGCTTATAATTCCAGCTACTTTTGAGGCTGAGGCAAGAGAATCAATCACTTGAACCTGGGAGGTGAAAACTGCAGTGAGCTAAGATCGCACCACTGCCCTCCAGCCTGGGCAACAAGAGAGAACCTCCATCTCAAAAACAAAAACACCCCAAAGTGCTCAAATCTAGAAATCAGAGATCTCTAAGAACTACCTACAGCTAGTTGCAGGATCTGAGTCTATCTGCTAGGGAGGAAGATTCGAAGTCTGGAAGCTGCCCTAACATTTTGAAAGATTCCTATCCTTTCACCAACCCACTCTTCTAGCAAAAAACTTTGTATGTTGATTTTTCAATGAATTCCTTTTTGAATGTTGGAAGGTAGAGGGCACGTGCCACTCTGCTCAGTGACTGACACCCCAAAAAACTGTGCCTGACCTTCTCTGAGATGGTATATGGTATATACCATACACCCATCCATGGATGAAGAAATGAGGAAAATGTGCTGGTGGGTGTATAACCAACAGAAATAAAATCAGTATGTTGAGACAGCTGGACTCACTTGCTCATTGCAGCATCATTCACAATAGCCAAGATATGGAATCTAAGTGTCCATCAGTGGATAAAGAAATTGTGCTATATATACACAGTGGGGTATCAGCCCTGAAAAAGGAGAAATTCTCCATTTTCAACAACATGGATGAACCTGGAAAACATGTTGAGTGAAGCAAGCCAGGCGCAGAGAAACATACACTGCAAAATCTCACTTATATGTGAAATCTACACACGCTGAACTCGTGGAAGGTCAGAGTGGCGGTTGCCAGGGGCTGGGCAGAGGGTGGGGAGGAGGGGTTGGGAAGGCATTGAAAAAATTGTGGTATATCCACACAGTGGATTATTATTCAGCCTTAAAGGTAAGAGAAACCTGTCACATGCTATGTGAGTGAACCTTGATAACATTATGCCAAGTGAAATAAGCCAGGCAGGGAAAGACAAATATTGATTCTACTTATATATGGTACCTAAAGTATTAATTGCAGGTTTTGCCTTTATTTTCAGTGACAAAAACTTCAATTACTTTTGCAGCAACCTAATAGTTAAATTCTGGAGACAGGAAGTGGAATGGTGCATGGCAGGGGCTGGGGGACGGGGAATGGGGAGTCAGTGTTGAATGTGGATAGAATTTTGGTTTTCTGAGATGAAAAACTTCTGGAGATTTGTTGTAAAACTATACAATACACTTAATCTAATTTATTTATCTTTGAAATGGAATCTCACTCTGTCACCTAGGCTGGAGTGCAGTGGCATAGTCTCAGCTCATTGCAACTTCTACTTCCTGGGTTCAAGCGATTCTCTTGCCTCAGCCTCCTGGGTAGCTGGGATTACAGGAGTATGCCACCATGCCCAACTAATTTTTGTATTTTTAGTAGAGACAGGATTTCACCATGTTGGTCAGGATGGTCTCAAACTCCTGACCTCAAGTGATCCACCCACTTCAGCCTCCCAAAGTGCCCGGCCCTACATTTAGCATTACTGAACTGTACACAAAAATAGTTCAGATGGTGAATTTCATGTTATGTGTATTTCCCCATAATTAAAAACAAAACCCTAGGACATAGCAGTGGCACATACAAATTTTTTAATGGAAAAGAGGGGAAAAAAAACCGTCGTCAGTTCATGACTGCTGCTCCAAGGATGAGTTGCAGGCAAGTTGTTTATTACCCAAAACAAAATGGAGAAGGAATAACAGGACTGAGGCACTAAACTTAAAAGCAAGACAGTCGGAGGCTCTTGGGGATGAACATCTGTTCTATCCTGTGAGGTGTTCAGGCTTAGCTAGGTACATCTGTGAACACACACATATAAATACACACACACTCACAAAAGGTATTTTGTTATTGGCACTACTCATATAAGATGGAATTTTCTCTTCCTTCTTTAATGGGCCTTTGGAATGAGTGGCAGAATTGTAGCACTGATGGCCTTGGGAAAGAAAATGACACTACAATTCCAGTCAGCCTCCCAGCACTTTGGGAGGCCGAGGTGGGCAGATCACCTGAGGTCAGGAGTTTGAGACCAGCCTGGCCAATGCGGCGAAACCCTGTCTCTACTAAAAGCACAGAAATTAGCTGGGTGTGTTGGCGCATGCCTCTAATCCCAGCTACTTGACAGGCTGAGGCAGGAGAATCTCTTGAATCTGGGAGGTGGAAGCTGTACTGAGCAGAGACTGCACCTCTGTGCTCCAGCCTGAGTGACAGAGCAAGACTCTGTCTCAGAAAAGAATTCTAGAGATTCCAGTATTTTCTAGGAAAGCCCCATGTTTTGATGTTGGTGAGCTTTTTCAGATGGAGCAGACTGATGTGCATGGCAACCCCTCCCTGACCCTCGGCCACCTGGGCCCACTCCTGGGGAACGGATTGGCATGAGTGAGTCCCAGGGGTGCCATGAGGCATCTCTGACATAGGCTTGCTAAACAAACAAAAGAATAATGTCAACAGCAGCACAACAGGTTTTCTGGCCATATAAAATGTCACAGGCTCTACTTTTGGCTTAATCCCTTATTGCACAGTTTTGGGAGGATCTTTTAACCCTCCTCAACCTCCTTGTGAAAAACGGGAATCATATCTGGCCAGCTTTTTACACGCTTCTTGTGAGAATCCAATGAAAAGTAGCAAAGTCAAGGTGATTTGTCTTATGGGACGACTATAAATACTATGATACATATCTGTTCTGATGATGAGCTTGTCCCCATTTCTGAAAATGAAGATCAAGTTGCAAACAGAATTTTGCTATCTGTTACTAATTTCCAATGTAAAAATGCTACCCACTACTTTTACCTCAATATTTACATACTAACGTTTACGTTATAATTTAGAAAAAATAGGCTTTGCCTTGAGGAATCATCTAAAAGTATACCTAGTGAGAATGATAAGGAAATTTAAGATGCACCCAACACAACCTTCCCTCAATTTGTTGGGCCAGGGATAGATGCAATTTCTGAGACGTGCCACAAGGCGGTGCCAAAGCAACAAGAAAGGCCTGAGCCACCCAGCTTTGTAAACAACTTCATTTTGGCAGGACAAACAAAAAGAAAATTTGGAAGGACAGGAGACAGCTGTGTGCAAATTAAGCCTTCTAAGCTTGGCGATGTTAGTAAAAAATTTCAGTTTTATTTTAGGAGGAAGCAGCAAAATGCAAACTCACAACAGAATGTCTGCTTCAGGAACACTGACACGTGTTAGGTATTCAACAAACATTTTGTCTTATTGATAAGAATCCACCTGAACTAGGCACGCACAGTTCTCTCTCTCCTATAGCAGGTGATGATTGGGCTTAGAAAGGCAAAAGGTCTTATTTAAAGTCTCCTAGTTAGTGAGCTGACAGCAATGTTCTGAATTCTGGTCTTTTAGGATTTTACTACGTGATTTTCCTTCCATATCATAATGTGCCTCTTTTTTTTAAAATATATTATTGCATTTTAGGTTTTGGGGTACATGTGAAGAACATGCAAGATTGTTGCAGAGGTATATATGTGGCAATGTGGTGTGCTGCCTTCCTCCCCATCTCCTATATCTGGCATTTCTTCCCATGTTATCCCTCCCCAGCCTCCCCACCTCCTGCTGTCCCTCCCCTAGTTCTCCCACCACAGACCCCAGTGTGTGATGCTCCCCTCCCTGTGTCCATGTGTTCTCACTGTTCAACACCCGCCTATGAGTGAGAACATGCGGTGTTTTTCTGTTCTTGTGTCAGTTTGCTGAGAATGATGGTTTCCAGGTTCATCCATGTCCCTACAAAGGACACAAACTCATTGTTTTTTATGGCTGCATAGTATTCCATGGTGTATATGTGCCACATTTTCCCTGTCCAAATGCCCATCGATGGGCATTTGGGTTGGTTCCAAGTCTTTGCTATTGTAAACAGTGCCACAATGAACATTCATGTGCATGTGTCCTTATAATAGAACAATTTATAATCCTTTGGATATATACCTAGTAATGGGATTGCTGGGTCAAATGGAATTTCTATTTCTAGGTCCTTGAGGAAGCGCCACACTGTCTTCCACAATGGTTGAACTAATTTCCACTCCCACCAACAGTGTAAAAGTGTTCCTATTTCTCCACATCCTCTCCAGCATCTGTTGTCTCCAGATTTTTTAATGATCGCCATTCTAACTGGCGTGAGATGGTATCTCAATGTAGTTTTGATTTGCATTTCTCTGATGACCAGCGATGATGAGCATTTTTTCATATGTTTGTTGGCCTCATATATGTCTTC